TTTTTCTCCAATCAACCCATGAGATTAGATTGGCAGTAAAGCATCACTCAATATTATTATCTCATCTGTGATGATAATATGATGAAGACAGAGAGATATTTGGATTAAGGTGAATCTTAAAGGTGCCTCGTCGTCTTCATCTCACGATTTTGTCGTCAAATTTTCTCTTGTTCGTATCAAGGACCATGTTTTCAATGATGTTAAGGCCTGGAATGAGTATCATTACTGGCTTTACATAATACATATGTGCCAGTGTCTCTGAGCAAAATATTCAAACATTCACACACAAAAATAATTTAGCCTTTTGTATTACCTAATGATGCAATGCATGTTCATCGTATTTTGTAGCTTGTGTTCATTGTCAGTAATGATATGACAGGCTAAACTGTTAGCTCACTGGGCAGGTGCAACTTGCATTTGAGGAAATAAGAAATACAACAATCCTTCTAATACTAAGAATCAAATAGCAATGTAAAAAAAAACACATTATATTCAGGTATTTCAGACCAGCCTTAGATAAGGCATTTAACAAATCGTGGCCATGTGCAGCTGCAATCATTTCCTGGAGGGAGTCTGAAGGTGCGTTCAGACTTAAAGCCCATAAGCACAAACAGATTTCATATCTCACTTTATTAACATGGATTTGACCAGTGGAGTGTTTTCACTCTTTGTTTATTTGCTACAACAACCGTGTCTCCTAAGAATTAATAATTGCTGTCCAGATTATATCTGATGGCAAGCTTTATTGAATCCATGAAATTCTACGATCTTGCGCTGCACAGAAGTTGTAAGGAGCTGTTGGACTTTGTATCCTGAGTGTGTAGTAGATTCAGTCACACAAAACAAAGAGACACTTAGGCTAGGGCAACTGAAAGACTGAGGTTTTGTTTATATATTTAGAAATATTACCAGAAATATATATACTGGAGAGAAAAAAATTCAATGCGTTGGCAGGGAACGTTTCACAGTTACACCCAAATTTCTTTATGCTAACTGAATAATGCACTCTCGGGAACGTAACCTCACTTTCAGAATGTAAATCAATAACATAAATGTAATATTTTGGACACACCTACTGTGTAGCTGGGTGGTAGTAGCTAGCTAGCTGGCTAACAATAGTAAGATTCTCACTGACAGTCAGTGAAAACAGAGGATGGGGATGGGGCTGTGGGGGCTGATTTGGGTTCACCCAGGGCCCCCAAATCACTAAATTCACCCCTGAGTCTGGTTGGTAGTTGTCTAAATTATTTTTATTCACGCTCTTTATTTGTAGCTTCTGGCTCTATATTTTCAGTGAAGATACACATGTTCAGATTAATTATGTTGTTTTTTCTTTTTAATGAAGTCGAAGGATATTTAACCTAAATACAGTGGATATGTCAGCTAAAGCGAAGCTCCTGTTTAAAACTAGCTGGAAGAGAAATGAATATGTAAAGGTGCTGATTAAAATGAAGGAGAATACACTTTAAATGCAATCACACCAGCCTGCTCACATTTTTGAGAATATCTTTATTAGGCATCCTTGATCATAAATAAAGGATGTGAATTCCCTTCATATGGCGCCTTTAAACTACTCAACTGCTGATTTTTTATTGTTGTTTTGCACCCATTCAGTAACTCTCGCTATCTGTCACCTACCAGACACACTGAAATAAGCAGGTAATATCTAGTGGCTTTTTACAGGCACATTAGTGTAATAATTCTGGAGTGCTGTGTATTGTGGAGTGGAGTGTTGTTCTGCTCAAATTGCTCCCTGCTCAAATGTGACAAACCCACTTAGGCTCTTCCATGTTCAGTCATTTCCACTTGGCCTGGAGTGGATTTAAAGCCACTGGAAATTAAAGTGTGCACAGTGACATCATCATGCTGCTTCTGTGTGTGTGTATTCTGTCTGAAAGGGTGATTTTGTGAACAAGTGTGTGAATCTAATCTGTGCATGAAGTGTGTGTGACACGCTGGGGCCTGTAGATTTTTATAGAGCCCAGCCTCTTTAGATGTGTAAATTCAGTGGCCGTCTCCATGACATCATGACGGATGAGTTAATCATATCAAAGTTTCTTGGGATGAGTCACATGGGCGCTAAAAACCTGCCGGGGTTCCCACTCTGAAGGCGGTACACTGTGTTATATTTGGTTTAGATTTATACTCTAAAATCGCCCTGTCGTATTATAAACAAGCTCACAGCACAAGCAAAGATAGAAAAGTCTAAAATGTTGAGGGCTTAGCTAAGACTACATACAATATGAGGTTTTTTTCTGCCATGATATTTCATATGGATCAAGTTCTCCGACATAGCGTATTTTGCAAAATGTCAGTGGTGTACATCGACTGATTCAAATCTTCAATAAAATAAAAAATGAGTTGCTAGAATAGGGCCCTTTCAAAATTCAGCTGCATCCACACTAAAGACTGGGAGATGTAAAGTGACTTCTACTCAGTTGCTGCTGTCAGACTGCTGCCGGTCTCCAAACACATTAGTTTATGCAGCTACCATGAGACCAATTCACTCTTAATTGGAAAGTGAATGTATTGCGCTGCATTACATCATATAATATTAGCGGCGTTATTGCTGGGCTGCGTTAGCAAAATTGAACGTGGACCTGTTTTAATGTATATCGGATATCAGGATTAAGATTGTGAGTCAAAATAAGAGTGATGTGTAGGGTAAATGTTGGACTGAGGCACCAGGATCTGGTGGTTAGGGTTATGTCAGCGCATTATGTCAGTCACAAGTAGTCCCCTTTTATACTTCAGCTGCAGAGAGAATCAGACCTACGTTTGAAACTGGTATATATTGGACACACATCTTAATTCAGACCTGGGCATATTACGGCCCGCGGGCCAGATGCAGCCTTTTGACAAGTCTCATCTGGCCCCATATGCCTTCATACATGTACATACTTCATGTTTTTTGTTCAGAAAATGTATTTCTTTGAATGAGTGTGATGGCAAAACAGGTTTACAGGCAGCCTAGGGCCTCACATTTTTGGTGCAATAAACTAGTAATCAGATTCTACTTGATGTGTTTTTGTAAGCAGAAATTACATGTAGAACCTAATATCTCCCATTACAAAGCACTCAAGGCATTTTTAAACTGCATGGGTGTGGCCCCTGATGCCGTGACAGATCCCTCATGTGGCCACTTCTGTCTCAACCCCTCTTCTAAAGGAACCTTTATCATATTTAAATTGTTTTTGAAATCCATGTTTTCCTCAGTTTTAATTTACTCTTGTTGCTGTTTTCTGAAAACTCCACAGTGGTTTGTCTTATAAATGCAGGACAGTACATTCTCAAAGCGTTGCTCTACACCAGTGGTCATGCTGTACCTTCCCTCTGCTGCTATGACTCTTTTCAACACGAACACCGCTCCTGCTCACACATAAGCTCCGTTTGTCTTTCTATGCGTGTCCAATATCCATTCATCCATCTATTTTCCTCCGCTTATCCGGCGCCGGGTCACGGGGGCAGCAGTCTAAGCAAAGATGCCCAGACTTCCCTCTCTCCAGACACTTCCTCCAGCTCCTCCGGGGGAATGCCGCGGCGTTCCCAGGCCAGCCGAGAGACATAGTCCCTCCAGCGTGTCCTGGGTCTTCCCCGGGGCCTCCTCCCGGTGGGACATGCCCGGAACACCTCCCTAGGAAGGCGCCCAGGAGGCATCCGAAACA